CATCTGGATTTTTTGGTGCACCGCACTTTTCTAAATTTGTCCTACGCCAAGTTTCAGTGTGAAAACAGCGCAGGGTTTGATACACGAGGCCCCTGATGAATCCTGATCTTGGCCCAGATGGAGCCGGTTCTGGAGATCAGATGGGTTGTCCAGGAACAGAACATCATGAATCTATTAAAGCTAAATGTCCAACATCCTGGATTCTGTCCTCCTGCACTCTGACTTGACAACACCAGAACCAGAACCGATCAAAAGTCCATCCAGTTAATTTTTACAGTGAACCTGATCTGAAGACAGAAGTTGCGTCTCCCTGCGATCTGGTTCCGGTTCTGAATCTGAATCTGGTTCTATCGTCCATCAGAATCTGACCAAAGATCCAAATCATGAAACGTGAATCTGAAAGTGGAGATAAAAAGCAGACGGATGATTTTGATCCAACATGAAGATGCTGAAATTAATCAACTGGGACTCACAGACCCGTGCTTTGACTAGGCCACACCCCTGTGGAGCAGAAGAGAGACTGGGGTCCTCTGTCAGTGAGAGACAGCGAGTTGTTGCAGCTAATGCTAGCTCGTTATGATGTGCTTTTCTCACCTGCTGAGCTGCAGTCCCACACCTGACTGATTCACTGAACGTCTGGAAATGTGTCAATGATGGTTGGATGTTGGATGATGGCTGGGTGTCATAGTGACGTCTGCTTGTCTGTCCAGGAATGTCGATGGTCCCTGAAGTCACTGTGGCGAAGCACTGCGGACTCAGAGTTCTGGGTTTGACCCTCGTCACCAACAAGGTCTCTGACAGGACACACTGTCCTGTCCTCACATGTCTCTGCCTGTCCTCACCTGTCTCTGCCTGTCCTCACCTGTCTCTACCTGTCCTCACCTGTCTCTACCTCTGCAGGTGTCCCTGGACTACAGCCGTGAGGAGAAGGTGAACCATGATGAGGTCCTGGAGATCTGCAAGATGAGGGCGGAGCTTCTGCAGAAGCTGGTCTCCACTTTGATTGGCCGCTGTCAGCAGAACATCAACACACACTGAGACACACACACACACACACACCTGTCGCTGCTCCTGGTTTCCAGTCGATTTCTGTTCACAATAAAAGTGAAGAACCTTCTTTGGTCTCCGCGTCTCTTTAGAACCTCCAGAACTTTCTGACCCAGCAGTTTGTCAGTTAATGAAACATGAAGCCCCTCATTTCATCTTTTATTATCGAACAAGGTTCACACTGAGCATGTGCAGACAGTCACATGACTGCACCACATTAGTTACAATTATTAACCAATCAATCAGATGTAGAGATATCAGCAGGGGGCGGGGTCTCTGTGGTCCAATCAGCTGTCAGCTTTCCTACGACCCCTTTGTACCTTTGATCATGGCCTCCAACATCTTCCACTGATCCGGAGTCACCTGGAGGACAGGTGAGACATGAGCAGTGACGTCAGTAACGTGCTACTGACGTCGCACCACTTTTTTCAGTAACAATCTAACGCGTTGCTGTGTCAAATCCCGTAGTCAGATTACAGTTACTTATCGAAATCACTTTGCGTTACTATTTTCTTTTGAAATTTCATTTTATTTCCTCTACGCGTCTTGGGGAAAAACCGCCGTTTCTATGCGACAGAAACAAAAACAACAGAGGGAGGAGAGAGATGCGCATTTTGTTGCTGGAAAAACAGGAACTATTTTAAGTTTCACTCGCCAAGTCCGATTATTAAAAGCAGCTTTGGGATCGTTTTGTTTCTAACGTCGCTTGCAGATGTGACGAGTCGCGGGTTGAGCTTTTGGGCTTGGAAATAAGCAGACATAAACTCCAGAATTTGTCTGTCATCCAGTTAGTTTCAGGACGGATGATCCGTCCCGCTGTGTTTTTGTTCATGTGAAGTTAATATATTACCTGAATGACGTCGAGCTTCGCGCTGCGCTCCAGAAAATCACAAACATGGAGACTAATATGAGCAGCGCAATAAACGTGAAAACAGCCACGAATGAACGAGTCCGTAAAGTTGTGCAACTAAATGCCATTATAATTATTAATATTAAGATAAGTGTCACAAATCTGTGCAGCGGGACATTGAGTTGTGGAGCCGCAGCAGGAGCGCTGTGCGCTGCGACAGAAAACTCAGGAATGTAACGCAGAACCTGGAGGCCGGGGCAGGAGGGGGGCTTTAAAATCCTATTTATAGTTTTCCAGACACACAAAAACACACACAAATTACAAACTTTTTTTTGTACTGTTGTTACTATTAAGCTCAATGTAATTTTCACAGGTGCAGAGCGTTGTCAGCAGCTGCTGAAAGTAACTAAAAAAGTTACTCTTAATGTAACTTAGTTACTTTCCAAATCAAGTAATCAGTAATCTAAGTTACTTTTTCAAAGTAACTATGCCATCACTAGACATGAGACAGGTGAGTAGCTCCACTCACCTTGCGCAGCTCGTTAAACTCTCCCGCCATCGATACATACTCGCCTCCATCAAAACGGATCACCTGTGGACGCAGTCAGGTGGAGGTCACATGTTTTCTTCTAAGTTCAGAACTACAAAGTTCTCATGTGATGTCAAACTTCTGGAAGTTTGTAGCTGATGGCCATCTTGGTAGGTATCCAAAACTAACTGCCTTAACAATTTGCATGGTGTTGCTATTATAACAATACGGCCAATCTCGGTAGCAGCCATTTTGTTCATGTATCTTTCTCTTTGTTGGTCAGAGCATCTATATTTAGTTCATCTACGCTTTGTGCTGCGTTTGCCTACCAAGATGGCCGTTCAGAGAAATCGTGATGAAAAAATCTTCTCTTTGTCCAGTCAGAGCAGGTCATGACCGATGACCTCATCATGGAGGCAGTGGGCTTGTTGAGACATGTGAGACATGACCTGTCCAGTTGTTCTGGTTCTGGACAGGTTCTGTGGTTTAACTGCTCAGAACTGTCAACCAGCTCCAGTCGGTTCCGATGGGAACCGGGTCAGGATGCTGGTCGGTTGCGGTCAGAAACGGGTCAGAACTCACTGCTCCAGACATCCAGCTGGCGAAGTCGCTGCTCAGGTACGCCGCCAGGTTGGCGAGCTCAGCTGGTTTTCCGAGCCGACCCGTCGGGATCCGATCGATCATCGACTTCTCAAAGGTTCCGGTCGGGTCCAAACGACTGAAGGCTCCCTGAGCAGAACCAGAACCCAGATTCCAATATGGGTCGATCGGTTTAATCCAGCAGAAACTCAGCAATAAAACTTACTAATCACTGCAACTCATATTACAACGAAGGGCTTGAAAGGTCAAAGTTCAAGGCCTGGGCACCATGGCACCAGCCCAGGGAAAGGACAGGAAGTGGGCGGTACCTTGGTCCTGATTGGTCCAGGCTGGATGATGTTAAACCTGTGGCCGTAGCGCCCCCACTCTGCAGCCAGAGACCTGCGGGCAAGAGCCACACAGTTACCATGGCAACGACAGGGCCGGGGCGACACATCGGGGTCCGACTGACTTGTAGAGCGCCTCGACTCCAGCCTTGGCCGCTGCACTCGGAACCACGAAACCAGAACCAGACTCGGCGTAGATGGTCGTGATGGCGAGGAACGAGGCGCCTGAGACACAAGGAGACAGTTAAAACGGCTCAGGTTCTGTTTCTGGACCCGGTTCTGGTTCTGACCTTTCTGGGCCTGGATCAGCCTCTTGCCCAGCTCCAGCGTGACGAACGCCGTCCCGTTCAGGACGATGTCAGTGACGCTCCGCCAGCCGTTGGGCGTCAGCCGCTCCGTCGGACAGATGAAGTTCCCTGCAGCGTTGTTGATGATCACCTGGACCAATGGGGACACAGGACAGGGTGATGTCATCGCCAATGCTCTGAACATACGACGGCAACAGGTTCTGGTTCTGGTTTACATCAGGAAGTCCGCTTAGCGCCACCATCTGGTCCACGCAGCGTGCCACGGCCTGAGGGTCTCTGACATCACACTGGAGGGCGTGGACCTGAGGACAGACACGGACCGGGTCGGACGCTGGGTTCTGGACCGGTTCTGGGACGACCTGGTTACCTGGTTTCCGGTCTGGCTGCTGATCTCACCAGCCGTCTCCTGCAGGACGTCGAGCTTCCTGAACCAGACAAGCAGAAGTTCAGGAACGTTTCCTGATGGGGTCATGTGACCTCTGATGTGACCTCTGACCTGCTGGCGATGACGCAGCGGGCTCCCAGCTGGGACAGAACCATGGTCATGGCCCGGCCCAGGCCGGTGCCGCCTCCGGTGATGAAGGCCAGCCGGTCTCTGAAGCTTCCCGCCGGCAGCATGGCGCCTTCGGACGGAGCGAAGAACCCGGACGGACGGGCTGAACCGGACCGGACCGGCGGCCTGGGGAACCGGGTCTGAGACACACAAAGTTGTGGCCAGTTCAGTTAAAACGCCTGAACATGAGAATAATTACAATGAATCAATTAACAGATTCCTTAATTAATCCATTAATTGCCAGGTGAACTGGTCGTCCTGCAGTGTGAGACACGTTCTGCCATCCAGGTGTTCAGGTGGGCGTGGCTGCTGCAATGGGCACCTGCACCCTGTTACCATGGTGATACATGGGGGGCCAGTCCTTCCTCCTCCTGCACTGTAAATTCTCACTTCCTGCTTTAGCCCCGCCCCTTTTGGTCATATTTCCGGCCTTCTGTTAAGCCACACGAAGCCACATGCAGGTGGACAATTCATTGCTACATGTGACGTTTTGAGTTAAAAGGCGGATTTATTGCAATGTTTTGATGTTTTTTCCGTCTTTATAGAAAATTAAAAGAAAATATCATGACAAGGCACATTAATAATCAGAAGTTTGATATGATAAACTGACCAGAAAGAGAAGAAATAAAAAGTCTGACTGAGGAGAGTAAAATGTCACAAATTAAAGATAAATTTCAAATCTTAAATTAAGATATTAACATGTTAGAATAAAGATTGTAAATAATAATAAAATTATTTCACTTTTAAAGTGGAGGTGATTTTTAGAAAGCAGTATTTGAGAATAAAACTTGGGATTAAATATATCATAATTTAGCTCTTCGTTCCTGTTAGAAGATAAAATTTTATTATATTAAAACTAAAGATGGAATAGATTTATTGTACAACACCCACTTTTGAAAACTTTCTAAAAACTTTAATGAAGTCTCAATTTATCATGATTTTTAAACAAATGTTTTCTTCAGACTAGAGGAGCAAACTGATGAATTTATTGTTACATTTTTGGTTCATAAAGTCACAACATTCAGTTTCTTTTAAAAAGGACATTTTAGTTCCATTTATAGATGCTGTATATTTGTCCTTTATTTGATGTTTGTTAGCATATTAGCTGCACTTTATACCAAGCTACATAAAATAAATGTTTTTGAGTAACAGCTGATTATGTAATGATTTCTATAACTAGTCAATTTGCAGGGGAATTGCCTTTAAGAAATGTTAGTAGATTTTAATGTGTATTAATTGATAAATCATCATACAATAAAAAGTTGTCTAGGAAATTTTGCAATGTTCACAGAGAAAGCTGTGTTTGTTTTAAAAAAATAAAAACAGTTTTCAAATATAAAGGATTGACAATATTTTTGTGTCACTGAACCAGGGGTCCCCAGGTGGGTCCTGGAGGCCCGGCATCCTGCATGTTTTAGTTCTCCCTGGTTTAACACACCTGCACCAAATGATGGCTCGTTATAAGGTCTAAGGAGAACACTGACTGACACAGTGAGTGGCAGCGGCAGTTAGGAAAAGTTTGTGTAGCCTGTAATTGCTAAGCTCTTAAACTGATCTCTTCAGCACCTCGGTGCCACCGGAGGTTCATGTTCTTTGCCCCGTTACAGGCAAATGAGGGAGTTCACCCCGAAGACAAGGCCTACTTCGGCCCTGGAGGAAATATCTCCCCTGTGTTTTCAGACTACGATCAGAAGACAGAAGCAGGAACAGTTAACAGAACTATACATATAGTTATACATTTTCTTATGTTTATTGTGTTTGTGATTCTGAACACTTTATAATCCCCTGGTTATGTGTCAGTCATCTGTGGGGCTTGTGCCCCCACGCTGCCCCCTCTGGCGGAGAGGGTCACGCCAGGACTGGTGGAAATACATTCTGACGTCACCGTCAAAAAACGAATAAATATCAAACTTGTAATTTTGTAATTAAATTTGTAATTTAAATTTGTCTTTTTTTTTTTCTTTCTCATGAAATTTATGGATTTGTTACCCCAGCACCTCGAGCGAATTTATGTATACAATTGTACATTGTTTGTTTGTAAATAAAGTAAAAAAAAAAAAAAAAGTCAAACTTGTGGCCCCCTGGTGCTGAAAATGTAAACTACAGCTGGTCGGGGTCTTTTTCGATGTAGGAGTGAACGGGGTGAAAGGTCAACCCGGACTTAAAACTTTAACGTTCCTTCCGACACATGACGCTTCATACTTTACTCTCTGACGTCGCAGACGCTGCTTGATCTCACCTGCAGAAGTTTCCTTCCTGAGCTCATCATGACGGCCGCCATGTTGGTTTCAGCTGATGACGTATGAGAGACTGTTCCACCTTGACGACATGAGGGGGGCAGGACAACAGTTAACTTTTTATTTTAATGTTGTTTTTTTTTCAATAAAAATAAGTAAATAAAGCTTTTATTGTTTTTACCTTTAATAGTTTAATGAACACAGAACAAATCCCGGCATTTACTCGGAGCCAGAACCTGTAGTTTCTGATCTGGTTCCGGTTCCGTCCCCCATTTATGGTTCGGTCTGGATCTGATGATGGTCACATGGTTCTCCGAGTCGAACCGGTCCTTCCCCGGTTCCAGCAGAACCTCCTAGTCCACTTGGCACCTGAGGAGAAGAGCTTCCCGGTGCGGTTCCGGTTCTGGTCCGGTCCAAGAACGGAACCAACAGCGCCTCAGGTGGACCGACAGATGGAGAACCGAGCGTCTGGACCCGAACTGGTTCTGGTCTTCAGCGGGAAGCGGAAGTCAGGGAAAGATTACATAACGGACATGATCCAGGATCGGTAAGGTTCGGTTCCGATAAGAACACGGGCTCGGGTTGTTTACATTGGAGTCACGTGACTGTTTCCTTTATGAATGAAGCATCAGAACCTCTGCGGTCCTGGTCCTGAATGACTCTGGTTCCAGGTCGCTGATGGTTCTGATCAGGTGACCCGGTTTGTGTTCCTCACAGAACCTTCCAGAACCTCGGATCAGATCCGTCACCAGCAGATTCCTCCAGCCGGTCCGGTTCTGATCAGAGTTGTGATCCGGGGGTCGGGGGTGTCCCTCCATGTCCAACTCTTACCTGGTTTCGTCTCCATGACAACGAGTGTCTGACTGAAGCAGGTGAAGCTTTTATTTTGAAAGTCCAGGTTTAAATGTTTTTGTGAAGAGTTTTATGTTGAGGTTCTGATGGGTCAAACAGAACCTTCAGAACCAATGAAGTCCAAAAATTCAGAGCAACCACAGTAGCGATTCTCTGGTTCTGGTCATATTTGGATCCAGTCATTACAAGAATAGAACCACAACAGAACCAGCCTGTTTTATCAGGTTGTCGAGCCTCTTCAAGTAACTGGTTCTGGTTCTGGTCTTGGTTCTGGTCCTGGTTCTGGTCTTAGTTATGATCTTGGTCCTGGTTCTGATCCTGGTTCAGGTCTCGTCCTGTTTGTCTCTCTCAGGAGGCGGGACCTGTGGGGTGGTGGACCAATCGGCTTGCTCCGTCTAACGTTTTCTTCTTCTTCTGCAGTCTTGGCCCGGAGATGTGCGCCGTGCTGCGTCTATCCGGGCCGCTGAAGCAGCAGTACGCTCAGGTGAGACCGCGCCATGTGCTGCATCCCGTCGCCATGGTAACTCCCACCTTACCTGTGCCTGTCCCTCAGGAGCGCGGCCTGGACCTGAACCGACTGCTGGGTTCCGGACCGTACAAGGAGCGGTACCGGGCCGATATGATCCGCTGGGGGGAGGACCGACGGAACCGTGACCCGGGTTTCTTCTGTCGCCTAGCAACCAGAGGAGCCCAGCAACCTGTGTGGGTGAGGGCTGTGATTGGTCAGGACGGCTCTCTGCCCTCTGATTGGTCAGGACGGCTCTCTGCCCTCTGATTGGTCAGGACGGCTCTCTGCCCTCTGATTGGTCAGGACGACTCTCTGCCCTCTGATTGGTCAGGTGGTGAGCGATGCCAGGCGGCAGTCGGACCTGCAGTGGTTCCAGTCCGAGTTTCCCCGTCAGACCCGTAGCGTCAGAGTCCAGTGCTCGGAGGAGACCCGGGGGCAGAGGGGGTGGAGCTTTACGCCAGGTACACCAACCCACCTCTCTCTCTCCCTCTGTGTGCCGCGCAGCCGTCTACCTGCTCAGATTTTCACCTGTCCCTCAGGTGTGGATGATGCAGAGTCAGAGTGCGGGCTGGACCGCGGCGTGGAGTTCGATTGGATCATCAGGAACGAGGCCGATGCCCCCTCCCTGGACCAGCAGCTGCAGCCCATCCTGAGGGCGGCACAGGAAGCGGCGGCGGCAGCGCAGGAAGTGGCAGTGCTCCGACATGATCAATAAAGTTATTATTGATTAGCTTCAATTTTAATCATAGTTATTTAAAAAGAAATTATTAAAACTGATGACATCACAGACTGCTACTGAGCATGTGCAGAATGTGCCACTTCACCTGTGGGCAGTGCGACCTGCTGAAGCACCTGACCTCAGAGCCGCATTCTGATTGGCTGAGAGGGATCAGCAGGTGTTTCAGAAAGCTGAAGGAAGAACTCCCCTGCAGTTTCCCTCTGGAGGCTAATCCTGTGGAGCAAGGGCCCTCTAGTGTTTAGGAGGAGGAACTGAGGGTTCTATTTGGATCAGAACCGGACCGGCTGCTTAGTACCATCAGCAGGAACGACAAAGAATGAAAATATTTAAATCTGAATGAATGAAGTTATGATTTTTCTGGATCCTTTTAGAAATAAACTGTTTAAAATTTAAATATTTCATCTTGCAGTTTTTATTCTGGCCAGGGCCAGCGGGGGGCGCTGCTGAACGATCTGAACCCAAGCAGATCAGACCAGGCCGGTTCTGATCTGAACTGGTTCTAGTTCTGGTTTCTGCCTCAGGACCTCATTACAAATATTGCGATGCTTGGGTTTCCATGGTTACAGAGGTAATCACGTTGGACGGTTTCCATGGAAACGGAGATGTCCTTGGTGCTGAACCAGTTAACTTAATATTCAAACTCGCTACAGTAGAACGATTCCAATAATTAGCAGCCGGTCAGCGATCAATGAGCCAGTCGATCAGTTTTTACATGCAATGGTTTTATTTTATAAAATCTTTGCTTTGGGTCATTAGAATGAATTGTGACATCATCACAGTGATGACATCACCAGGTAAAAACACTTTCATCTGAGCTCTGGCCCCTGGGTCACCATATTTGGCAGTGGAATGTCTTTCCATGATTGGCTGATCACACACTGAAGCCACGCCCCTTCAACGTTATTGGCTGAAATAATATTTGGCCCTAATTAACAAATCAATTATCAAAGGAAACTGAACATTCAGAGAAAACACTGAATTAGTCAAACGCTGGGGAGCGGTTAGTGACGGGGATGGGGTCAAAGGTGACAGACGGAATGTGTGACATCAGGATTTATCCAGACAGGAGGCCACACCCCCCGGCCCACCTCCACCTGTCCCCTGGAAGGAGAAGGAGGAGCTTCCTGTCAGGTGACACAGTGGGAGGGGCTTCAGCAGGAGTTGAGTTCCTCCATGGTCTGGTTCAGCGTCGCCTGGAGCTCCATGTTGGCGTTTCTAGCTGAGGTCAGAGCGTCTGGAACAGGAAGAGGCGGGCAGTTATTGATTACCCATCAATTAATGATTACCAGTACTTCAGTGATTCCTGAGAATAGGGACAAAATGGGTTTTAATTTTCCCATA